TGTGTGTGTCTGTCTGTGTGTGTGTGTAAACACGATAACTTGAGTACCGTTACAGCTAGGTTGATGAAATTTCATATATAAGTATTTTATGAAAATCGTAGATCCTGATTTATCTGTGAGTGTCAAAGTATGTATGAAATATATGGATTTATTTAGTTCGCTTTGTGTATTGGTTTATCATAAACAATGCTCTTTTTTTTCAAGGAAAGTAAAAACTTGAAATAATTTAGTTTTTGATTGCCATTGTGGAAAATAATGACACGGCTAGGTGGATGGGGTTAGTGCATGTGTTAGAATATGCTACGTGGAGAAGGTGATGAGTGTTAAGATTTTTTTTAATGGGAGATAGAACAAGTCAGATTACTTAAACCTTTACTTTTTGATAAAAACAACGAGATAAAGGAGACAGATACAAGGGACGCTAGGTTGATAGTGTTGTCTTTTTCTCTAAACCAAAATCACCACCTCAACTTTAGATTTAATTGTAAACGACAAATGACATTGAAAACGGATTTTTATACAGAATCGCTTGATCTGCACGGTTACTGCACATTGATACTAAATATAGTCGTAGCCATACCCCTAAACCTCGCACCTAATCTACAACATGACAAAAGTCGCTCTTAGTTTCTTTCAGGCGACTCTACTTGGGCGGGGGGGGGGGGGGGGAGGGGGGTCAGCCTTACCGCCAGACAGCATGAGTCAGCCAACCCTTTCCCCACGCCCCACCCACCCCAGAGCACGTCTACCGTCTTCCTTCAACGAAATAAAATTTATATAGAAAATATACTTTTACCAGTGTCCGTCCACTTTCTAGAAAATTTAGTCCACCCCCACCCTTGAAAATTTCTAGTAACCCCCCTACTGGTTGCATTTGTAGATCATACAGACTAAATGAAGAGCCTACTTTTATAACATAGACCAGAGGTCGGCAACCCCTAATAGCCGTCACTAAACCCGGCTCTACGATTGTAAACATTTAGCGTGAACCACAGCTCATCAGACCATGTGGGGATGGTAGAGATACGCCTAGAGAGGAAGAGAGGGGGCTGCTAGGCACGCTTACAGCTTGGTGTTTTCTAGGGTATCCAAGAAGAGAATATATATATACAGAGCCGACCCGCGGCTTAAAGCCGCTATTTAGTTGTTTTATTTTCTACTTTTCAGTAATTCATAATTTGTGAATTCGACAGTACCAATGTTGCCACTGAAAATATTTGTTTTAAAACACTACCAGATGGTCGTTAAGGACGATACCCCCCTCCTTTCCCCCAACCCCTACCCCACCCACCCCCACTCCACCCCCCCCCCCCCTTGAAAGCAAACTCCTCTTCGTTACCTCCCCTAAGTTTAAAATCGTTTCAAACTATATTATCTGCCCCTAATAGCCGTCACTAAACCCGGCTCTACGATTATAAACATTTAGCGTGAACCACAGCTCACCAGACTTCCTAGAGAGAAAGAGAGGGGACTGCAAGGCGCGCTTACAGCTTGTTTTCTAACGTCTCCAAGAAGAGAATTATATATATATATATAGAATTTTTTTTATATTTTTTTTATAATATAATGAATATAAATAACTTAAAACATGATAAAAACTCTCGTCAGAGAACAATGAGTAGGTGCGTTAGAAAGTATCCTGACGGCAGCTTGGGCACCAGGCCCAGCCGCACAGCCGTTGACGACGGCTCCATTCTTGCCACTGCCCAAGTGCCGACTTTTTAAAAATATCGTTAAATGAGTAATGTTATTTTATACAAAATGCATTGCTCTATCCGTCAGTAATCAAATTTGACTTGAGTGACGAAGTTTGTTTTGGTTATTAGCTTCCTACTGTTGAGCAGGGTACTTGACGGTGGGGTACGAGTTTACCCTGCGTTCAGAGGGGTGTAAGCCTAATGACAACCAAGGGACTGAAGCGACCGGTACACGGTATTCAAACCGATATCCAAGTCAGTTAGTCGGAGTTTGCCGTGTTGAGGCTGCCCTGCAAGCTATTGGCTTGTAAAGTGGATTGGGGTAATCTTATAGTTATATTCATTACTAATTCCATCATAGCAGAGCTAGATAAAATTCTTTTATATATTTTGTGCGAAATATTAATATTTTTTAAAATATAAATATTCTTTCATATTTAAAGCTATTTATTTCGAATCAAAAATCAAATTTAAATGTCTGATCCTAATCAAATGCCAAAATATTGAAATAAAAATGTTAGTGGCTCTTCCGACTCAATAGGTTGCCGACCCCTGACATAGACCCATTATGCATGAAAGAAACTCTTCACATTTACATATCCACCATAGTTCACATTTACATATACACCATAGACTTCACCAGTGGCGTAGCCAAGATCATATCAAGGGGAGGGGCGGTTCCAATTTTTATCCGGGGACAAACTTTCGATTTGCTGCCCCCCCCCTCAGACTTTTGATTTGCACCCCCCCCACCCTAAAACTTTCGATTTGCACCCCCCTCAAACTTTCGATTTGCACCCCCCCATCATACTTTATATATGTACCGAGGGGTCTATGGGGGGGGGGGGGGTTATGACTGGACTTCACATTTACAGATCCACCATAGACTTCACATTTACAGATCCACCATAGACCTCACATTTACAGATCCACCAAAGACATCACATTTACATATTCACCATAGACTTCACATTTACAGATCCATTATAGACCTCACATTTACAGATCCATCATAGACCTTACATTTACTGATCCACCAAAGACTTCACATTTAAAGATCCATCATAGATCTAACATTTACAGATCCACCATATACTTCACATTTACAGATCCACTATAGACTTCACATTTGAGAAAATCCTTTCAAATGTTGTAATTGTTTTTCACATAAGTAACATTTTACAGAAGCATTACAAATGTGAGAAAATTTTCACAAAGAGACAACAGAGGCATCATTATTTTTTTCCCCATATTTTTAATATTTTGTTAACCATCAAAAGAATCCATAAAGAAAATGTCGTTGAAAATCTCTAAGAACTATGTAGAAAATCTCCTTGTGGATTGTGTTGCTTTGTGAAAAAACATTTTTTTTTATTGTTGTGGTTTGCCAGTATTAAATTTTTAATATCTAGTTTTTATTGGTAATTTAAAAAAAAATTGACCCTGCTTGTCTGTACTAAATACAAGCAGCCAATTCTAGTCTAATTGATTAGGGTTTAGTTTAAGGTACCAGGCCAAGTAAGAATGGCAGACAAACAAACAAAAACATTTTTTTATATCATAATTGCAATGTTCAGACAATGAACAAGATGTGGTTTAATTATTTTTTAAATTGTGTAGAGTTTTAATCAACTAATGAAAGGTTTTAATTTCTCTATATTGTTGATTTTTTTAATGAATTATATACAGATTTGACTTATTTTTTTGAGTGCTTTTATACTATTAAAATTGTAATTATTTTTCAAATGATAATGTAACTTTAAACAAACTGTCTTTATGTAGGCCATGCTGATGTGAAATGTATATAGTATATAAAGTTGAAATAGACTGCACTTATGTGAAAGAAAGAGGATATTGTCACACCATATAGCAAAATAATCTCCCCCCCCCCCTTGACGATAATGACACTACAATTTGAGGATTGGTGTCTATTATATAGGCCTACTGCATTAATTTTTTTAGCTTCTCAGCTAATAATCTATATATATAATTCTCCTCTTCGAGCCGTTAGAAAACAAGCTGCAAACGCTCTCCCTACCTCCCAACCCTTAATTGGTTTTAGTGAGCTGTGTTCACTCTAAATGTTTACAAGCAGAGCCAACGATTTTAAACGTAGGGGGGGGGGGGGGGGGGGGAAGGGGGGGGGGGAAGGAAAGGGGGGGGGGGGGTTATGGTCCTTAACGAGCTACTTATAGTGTTTTAAAGAAATATTTTCAGTGTCAGCGTTGGTACTGTCGAATTCACAAATTATGAATTATTGAAAATTAGAAACAACTAAATAGCGGCGTATGTTATGCCGCGGGCCGGCTCGTCAATTATAAAACAATAAATAAATGCAAAATATTTGCATTTTGTAAAAACTTCAGTCAAATATTACATTTTTCTAAGACGGCATGAAAATATTTTATAAAAATTAAAATAATTGATTACATTTAAAAATTCCAATTTTTTTCTGGTAGGGAAGATAATTTAGGATATTTTTTTCTTATTACTGACGCATTTTTTAATAAGAAGTTTAATTAGATTAGTGGTTAAAATTCTTTACTTTACTCCGTTAAATTAGTACTCAAATTTCAAATTTATTCAAATTTATTAAAAAAAAAAAACGGTTACAATTGTAGGCACAAAGGCCTTTTTTCACATTGGCCGTTTAAACAAATAAAACAATTCAATAACACATAGCAGTAACATAGCACTAAAAATGTGGAATAAAGAAACAATGTTACATAGTTATCATACAAAATGAGATAAAAAAAAGAGAATATAATAGATGAATGAGGAATGTTACAATGAGTCAGTTAGGTCATTAAATAATTTTAGTTTTAGTTTAGATTTGAATATATTTTCAGATCTAGATTCTAGATAGCTTTATTTTATTAGGAAGATTGTTCCACAAATTAGAACCAGAGTAGGCGAAGCTATGTTTTTGGAAAAAAGTTGAATATGGGAATGGTAAATTAAGACGACGATTTAATTTTAGGGTGGTTGTAACTACAACTCCACAGCTTATTTTGAAAAAAAAATCTTTTTATTTTGCTGTTAGCTTTAGGACAATAGTTAAATACAGATAATGGTATGATTATGGTTAGTGTGACAGTAAGAGTTACCGTTCTTGGTGACTATATTTGCATGAAAAGCACAAACATACAGTGGTTATAATTACACAGTGGCCTAACATAGTGTCGATATCACTTTTAATGGTGAAGCTATAATTCTTATTGTAAGATTAGTATATACAAGACTTTTTTTTCCAAAAACAAGTGAATCAAAATTAATAATATAAATATAAAAACATTTCAGGTTTAGTTTCGTACATACTAGTACTAGATCTATATTGACTATATTGCTCTTTCAGGCTTGCCAAGTTCATGAAATTTGTGAGTATTTTACACTTCCTGTACAGGTAGGGCATATGTAAAATTACAATTAGATTTTTGTATTAAATTTCTAATAAAGTCTTTATTTTAAAAATTTAACCACCACTTGAATTAGATAATGCCTCCCGAAGCATGGTCTTAAAATTTCTGCCCACGGTCGGCAAATTCACTAGTTACCTATTATCGATAAGAGCCGATGCAGTTAGAAACAATTATGCACATTAGGCCTATATTTCTATGTATCTATTGCACTCTCAACTAATTCAAGACATCTAGATCTATATTTAAAATTATTTATATTTGAACAGTATTCAATCATTATATTTTATTAAAAAGACAATATTTTATTTTATTCAAAATGTTCAGCATTGGACCACACAAACTGAATGTAGGCCATTCGATTCACAGCTTATGGGTTTGTTGTTTTGAAGCCATCTCACGGCTCATGCGCTTACCAAAAATAGTTTAAAAAAAACATAAGTAAATTCTGTTTTAATGAAGGTCACAGGTCAAATGTTTTTTCCTTCAGTCAAGTTCAGTGAAAGGTGCCACAGGCTGACCTGACTTTGGAATTTTTTCAGTAATAATGACTTTGCACAGAAAGTTAAAATATGCTAAATTAGCTTAGTTTACTAGTGTTCTAGCTATTATTAATACATTTTTAATAAAAAAATCATTTTGTAATTCTCATAAAAAAGCCTACTGAATGGACGCGAGCGAGAAAGTAGTCTATTCGAGAGGCCCATTAAATAATTTAAAAATCATGCAATGTGTAGTTACAATTAATATGGTTATAAAATCCTGTCTGTCGGGTTTTTTTGGACCTTACTAAAGATTGGATATATTTGATGTTTTTCTGTAACTAAATAAAAAAAAATGCAGAAACAATTTGGTTTTCACATGTAAAGGAGACATAAACAATGGCATCCTGCAATTCGATAGGCTGCCATAAATTTTATTGTACACATTGTAAGCTAAAAAATAAACTATGTCATGGGGTTTAAATTTGCTTTGTTATTTATAAACTTTATCTGCAAATAATTATCGATCACGGAGTTCCTGTACAGCCAATCAATATGTGTCTTACGAAAGTGAAACATCCAGTTATAAGTTATAACTTAGGCTTGATGAAAATAAATAGAAATTATTTTCAAGTTCTCTGGATTTGCAATTTTTATAGCATTTATTCTGAAAATAAAAAATTTCTAAATTGATTTTACTTTAGTTTTTTTTTTAATAATTTTTACAGTCTAAATCTAAAAAAGTACATTTTTATTCCATGTCAACAACATTATGGAAGGATTCTCATCAACTTGCTTGCGTCCACTGATATCTGTTCATGTTGTGCCAGAAAAAACAATATTTGAATTTCAAACTAATGAATTATATAACTATTTTTCAAATTATGAATATGAAATATTAACACTTAGTATGGCAGATATTAAATCTAGTATTAATTTTTGTGTTACTGAATGCATATGATTTTTTTTACACTATTTTGTCTTTGGGTGTGATGTGTGTGACAAGAATGCACTGGGATCATATGAAAGTAATAGAAAATACAATTAGAGTAAAAGTAAAATAAAAAGTGATATGCCAAAATGTAAATATTCAATGGCAAAGACAACTAACATCTTACAGCAATGGCAAAATAATAAAAAGAGATAGTATATTGAGATTAGGATCAGTGATATAAATAGTGTTAGGATTATGACTAGGTTTTTTTTATGGTTCAAGGTGAGTTTAACCGCCATATTCTGGTTAATATTTTGGTTAGGGTTAACGCTCCAGTTTCGGCAAACTTTTTATTTGTGTTTAGGTTAAGGAAAATGTGTAGGTTTAAGAAAAAAGTAAAATAAAAATTTTCTTACTTGCCTCATTTGTATTTTTCCTTCTCACTAAATATCAAGAATGCAATATAACTACTAATTGTTATCAAGAGACCCTTTTTTAGATTACTATATATGTAATGTTTAAGAAATATTTATTGTCAGATTTTGGAGAGGTAATTCATTGATGAAAAACCTGATATAATATAATTATTTACACAAATAGCTATTTCATTTAGATCTAGTACATACATCTTTTAGTCCTTTTTACAAGCTTTTAACTTGCTTCCTTTGTCGTCAGTCTGTCTGTCTAGAGCGAAAAACGCTGGAGTGAAAATTCGGACACTTCTACTTGACCGATATGGTTCAAACTTGGCACGTGGGTCAAGACATGAAGACAATGCAAACTGAAATTAAATTTGACTTATTTGGATGCCTAATTAATTTTTATGAATTAATTAAAATTTTGACCTTATTAGTGTGCATGTCTATCCAACCACACCACACGCGTCATCACGTTCAATGGCTGCGCCATCACGTTCAGTAGGCCCGCAATGGTTTTTAGTTGTGTAACTCTAAATAAAACATGTAAAGTACTGAAAAAAAATCCATAAAAAACGTTTAAATAACAAGCTTTTATGTAATAATGCACTAAAAAGTAGAAAATATACTATAGACTACTATTTAAATAACTATAAAGAAAAGCGTGGGTCTCTTCCTAAACATTAGTAAAGGTATCCAATAGGTACTAAAGTGACCCATGCTTTTCTTTATAGTTATTTAAATAGTAGTCTATAATTTATTTTCTACTTTTTAGTGCATTATTACATAATAGCTTGTTATTAAAATGTTTTTTATGAATTTTTTTGTTCTTCTTCTTCTGCATTCTTAATTTTAGTGTTGGAAAGTATACATGTCAATGATTGTCAACTGGTTATGCGCCATTGAGACCATTGAGTCAGATTTCAGCCTGCTTTTCTTTTTGGATTTGTTTCCATAGACTTTGTCCACCCAAGAATAAACTACCAGCAGTTGTTTGATTTTGGAGTTGTCTCTCCTAGAAGAGTGGCTGTACCCAGCTAACTAGCCTCATCTGCCCGAGACTTTTTGGTTTAGCAACCATGACCTTTACCGACTGAACCACGGCCATCCCTGTCCTTTTTATTGATGTCGCTGACTTTCTTGTCTACTGTATCAATCGGTCATTAATGTGTCCATTGTATTATTCATCAGTATCCATTGTATTTGTCATCACTGTGTCCTTTGTATCAGTCATCACTGTGTCCATTCTATTAGTCACCACTGTGTCCGCTGTATCAGTCCATGACTTGTCTAATAAGCATTGTGATTTAACCTATCTTTATGAAAACAATTTTCAAACATGTAAAAACATTCCACAGATATTTATCCAAGACAGAATAGCAGAATGACTTTAACAAAACTTTCTTATTTGAAAGCACATTTACAATATGAACATACTGGGGATAGGATTGTCAACAGGCGCCTGGATGTCATTGATAATTCTAGTCAACTTTCTTCCCAGTCATCAAACTTTCATCAACACCATAGAATTCATACAGGAGAAAAACCTTACAAGTGTGATTTATGTTGTAAATGTTTTAGACAACTATCGGATGTACAACGACACCTTAGAGTACATACAGGAGAAAAGCCTTACAAATGTGACACATGTGGTAAATGTTTTACAAAGTTTGTTAACTTGAGGAAACACCATAGAATTCATACAGGAGAGAAAACTTACAAGTGTGACTTATGTTGTAAATGTTTTAGACAACTATCAGATGTACAACAACACCTTAGAGTTCATACAGGAGAAAAGCCTTACAAGTGTGACAAAAGTGGTAAATCTTTTACAAAGATTGTCAACTTGAGGAAGCACCATAGAATTCATACAGAAGAGAAAACTTACAAGTGTGACTTATGTTGTAAATGTTTTAGACAACTATCGGATGTACAACAACACCTTAGAGTTCATACAGGAGAAGAGCCTTACAAGTGTGACAAAAGTGGTAAATGTTTTACAAAGATTGTCAACTTGAGGAAGCACCATAGAATTCATACAGAAGAGAAAACTTACAAGTGTGACTTATGTTGTAAATGTTTTAGACAACTATCGGATGTACAACGACACATTAGAGTACATACAGGAGACAAGCCTTACAAGTGTGAGACATGTGGAAAATGTTTTACAACACCTTATAATGTACACAGACACAAAAGAATTCATGCAGGAGAAAAGCCTTTCATTTGTGACAAATGTGGTAAATGTTTTACAATGTTTGTCTACTTGAAGACCCACCTTAGAAGTCATACAGGAGAAAAACCTTACAAGTGTGACACATGTGGTAAATGTTTTACAAGCACTTATAATGTACACAGACACAAAAGAATTCATGCAGGAGAAAAGCCTTTCATTTGTGACAAATGTGGTAAATGTTTTACAATGTTTGTCTACTTGAAGACACACCTTAGAAGTCATACAGGAGAAAAGCCTTACAAGTGTGACACATGTGGTATATGTTTTACAACCCCTTATAATGTATATAGACACAATACAATTCATACAGGAGAAAAGCCTTACATGTGTGACAAATGTGGTAAATGTTTTACAAAGTTTGTCAACTTGAGGATGCACCTTAGAAGTCATACAGGAGAAAAGCCTTACAAGTGTGACACATGTGGTAAAAGTTTTACAAGCACTTATAATGTACATAGACACAAAACAACTCATACAGGAGAAAAGCCTTACACGTGTGACACCTGTGGTAAATGTTTTACAAAAGCTTATAATGTACACCGACACAAAAAAATCATACACGAGAAAAGCCTTACAAGTGTGACAAATATGAAAATATTTTTCCCAGCATTATAGTTTATAAAATACCATAGAATTCATACATTTCAGAATCTTCTTAGAAAACGTTATAGGATAGATTATTTAGATAAAATTAAGTTACTAAATAAGCCTACAATTGTTTATTGATATTTACATCAAACTGTAATTTTTATTCTCTACTAGTTTAGCTCACAGTATCTCTGGTGTTTGATACTACAGTAATACTTTATTTTCCATTTTCATTTCACATAATAGTGTCATATATGTACTATATTAATTATAAACATATTGATACAATTGTACATTTATATAGCATTATATATATATATATATATATATATATATATATATATATATATATATATATATATATATATATATATATATATATATATATATATATATATATATTGAGAGAGAAAGACAGTAAGGCAGTGTGCAGAGCAGCAAGTGTTTGTTTTATTGGGTTTTAATTTTAGCTGCATTTATATTTAAAACTTTTCATTTATGGTAGGTTAGTTTGGTACTGGTTGAGATATTATCATTTGCTGTTATTTTTTCTACAGACTTGTGAAGCTACTATACAATTTAATATTTATATTTTGAAAATAAAACTTTTATATAATTATTTAAATAAATACTATTTATTATGTGGCTGGCATTTTTAATTTTAGAGTAACTATTGTTTAAGTCTGTATATTAGCTAATTGTACAAGTAAATAAAATATGAAGTCACAGGCTCTAAATCTTTCGTGAATAAAAAAATCCAATGCAAATGTAGCCGTTCGCGTTGCTATGTTAACCGTTTAAAAAACGATAGAACGGGATTATTATTCCAATTATATATGCCCTCCTTATTAGCAGCGGTTTTGACCGTAACTGCCGTATAATTTTATTTCAACTTTTTACTTGTTTTTGTTAATCTCATATTGAGTTTAAAAGTTTAAACTCTGTGCCCACTTATCAGAATATAGTATAAATAATCTTAACATTAATCTATTTTAATTATGAGCCTTAATATATAATAATCAAATAATACAAAAATGTATTTTAACTGAAATGTCAATATTAAGGGTTAGTTGAATTTTTTTTTAAAATTACCTGCCTCGGCATAATTGTTAAACATTGTAATTGATTCTATTTATTCAATCCATTTTTTTCTAGGCATATAAACAAAATAAATTTTCGACTGATCCGTTTAGCAATGTGCTTGTAATGTATTTAATATTTTCAAAAAATATTTTGTTGGCGTATTCTTTGCCAACAATAATAATAAATTTTTTAAATAAGTAAACTCTACCTCAATACTTGTAGTAAGACAATGCAATGCAAGGTAATACACAGCATGGAGTGTTTACTTTTATGGCTCTAGAATCTTTAACATGGAGTTTGCGTGGCCGAGTCGGTAAAGCTCATGGTTGCTAAACCGAAAGCCTCGAGTTCGAACCCTCGGGCAGATGAGGCTCGTTAGCTGGAGACAGCCACTCTTCTAGAAGAGACACTTCCAAAATCGGAGTCGATGGCCTAAAGGCGCATAACCAATTGACACGTATCCTTAATTGTTATGGAGGCGTGGTCGAGTTGGCAAACATTCGAAAAAGTCTCGAGTACAAAAACCCTCTTGCAGATAAGGCTCGATCCCTTCCAACACTAAATTTTAAGAACGAAGAAGAGAACTCATAAGGACATAGAGATGCAGAAGTGGAGTGCATCATTTCGAGGGCAAAATTGTGTTGTTTTTAAAATTGCTTTTTTCCCTGTAAAAATGATATTGTAAACATATGATTCTGCCTTCTTTGACCAAATTTGTCCATATTAGGGGATCGACTAGAGGTACTTTGTCACCGATGTTTAAGTTAGCCCACCTGTAGTTTAGCATGAGTTTCAAATACGTCTTCGGGTTTTTTTAATTAACACTATAATTATTTAAGAAATTTGATGAGACAAGTTTCCTTTTTAGTTGCCAGAAATTAAAAATAATATTAACCATGCAAGAAATACAAGTCACTAACTGCTTGTTTTTGTTCCAAGTGACGGTTGGTGCCAGAACTACTACAATGAATTGTATTTGTGTAAAGCTGGGAAAATATGCTAGGCACTGCCATGGATTAACTATCTACTAACCAAACCATAGGTCATGTTATTTTTTAAGTGAGTGTTGAGAAAACTTGTTCAGTGTTTGTTTCAGGAGAACCTGTTATATATTATATTGACCTGTATATTATAAAGGGATAGTATGGTAAGCAATATGCCCGAACGCCTTTACTAAAAGGTAGCCATCTGAGCAAGGTGTACTAGATACTAGATGTGCTAGTTAATCTAGAGTCTACAGAACTCAAGCTATTCTGGATAACACTTGCATACTCAACCATCCGTCCGATGAATAGGCCTACCTAGTTCTGGTAGCTTAGTGTCTCTATGTTTGTTTGTGTAACCCTCACTCAGTGGGGATGCTTTACCCACTGAGGTGTTGTGGTTAAGACGGGCTGAGATTTAGGACACACTGACACCGACAGTTGTTGTCAAGTACTGGCTTTATTCAACAGTACATCGAGCCATGACGGCGATGCAGAACACAGATGAATACTAAACAAACAGGAAAACCAAAAAGAAAACAGAGAAGAACTGTAGCCCTAAAACAAATGTAAAGAAAAAGTTACATTCATGATAACACCACGAGTAGGCTACAACATACACGGGTACAATAAAATATGTTGCGGCCAGTACACAGTACTGCCAACAAGTACCAATAAAAGTACAACAATAAATACTTTAAAAATTACTCAACCTAACTTGTGTGCACATACAGCACTAGCAGGAATACACAAATAAGTATTCTAACAATAAACATAATTTATATAACCACACTACCTTCATTAGGTCTACATCTTGGTACCGTCACCGTGTCCACAGACAGCAGATTTGCGTGTGACTGACACGGCTAGACACGAAACTACCCATAGTCCCATGTCACATGACATGGGACACAGGTAAAATCGCTCACAAGAGCATGCAACACAACTACATCAACAGGGCTCAATGAATTAAAACTTTATTTGTTATCCCCCTTGGCTGGTAACCATATGTGTTAAATTTGCAATTGTCTTTTTCTTGACTGCTGATGTTACGTAACACAGATCTCTGCGTTAACCTTGCTACTTTATTATAATAGACAGCACAGACGACAAGTCTTGGCTCTTGGTCTACCTGTAGGTAACTGAATACATGTAATGTACACATCTACTACTTCACGGAAGCCACTGTGAACACTCAAGGGCCGTAACCATGATATACATAATACAAGGGAGGCAACAATTACCAACAAGACATACTGTAACTGGAACAGCTGAATCTCCCCTGACAGGGGCTGCTGACATCCCAGCCTACACAGTGGCGTAGCGAGGGGGGGGGGGCGGGGGGACATGTCCCCGGGCGCCGACCTTAGGGGGGGGGGGGCGCCAAAATGGGTTGGAAAAACTAATTGAAAGTTGAGAGGGGGTGGTGCAAATCAAAAGTTCGAGGGGTGGGGGGGGGTGCAAATCGAAAGTTTGTCACCGGGCGCTACGCCTCTGAGCCTGCAACAATGTATTTTGGCTCATTTCACTAAACTGCTCTATTTTTTCCGCGCTGGTAAGCGAGCGATGAAGTAAACAAATATCGAGGTCATTAATCAAACTTATAATATTACTATTAACATTTTGAATGGTGGAAAGTGGAGGTGGGAGTCAAAGTCAAGGCTGAATTTTTTGTGAACGTCATAAATGTTTAAACCCTTATGCCACTGATTGGGTACCACTTAGCACACATGGCCGATGTAACAAAACTTCAATAATAGTTACTTCACTTTACAAGAAATCGAGTCTGCACATTTGATTATTCGAGTTGTAACCAAAGGGGGTCGTCCATAAATGACGTCAAACTTGTAGGGGGGAGGGGGGGGGGGTCGGTATTTTTGTGACGATGTGTGATGAGGGGGGGGGGTTCAGATGGTGCGACGTCACACTTTTGCTTTATAGAAAGAAATGTTAGAAAACGAATTTTAGATGTTATTTTGCGTTTTAGAAAACAGGTTTAATAAATTGTAATAGGAATTGATTAAAATACTCTAATTTGACAGATTTCAGACAAGATTTTGGTAAACTATCGATCTTTGTAGGCTAAGGTGTGACGTCATTTTAAGGGGGGGGGTCTGGCTTTTTGTGACGAATTGTGACGGAGGGGAGGGGGGAGGAAAAATCGTCAAAAACGTGACGTCATTTATGGATGACCCCAAATGCTTATTTTAATTTAAATCTAGATCTAGGTCTATATAAAGTATTATAAAATAAACTCATATTAGGCCTACATCTGTAGGCCTAGACTAGTTCTGTTTTCCGTTTCTGCTTAACAATCTCTGGTTTAGTTTCGTATCTATATTGCTCTTTCAGGCTTGCCAAATTCTGGTCCAGGTATAGACTAGAATCTAGAATAAGATCTAGATCATAGATCTAGTAGATTTAGACTAGATGTATATAGATCTAGTAATGTAGAATTCTCTCTAGATCTAGATCTTTCTAGCAGCTATCCTCATATTGACATATTGTAACATTTACTAACATTATTCTACTTCCAACTAACCACATCCTTTAATAAAATGAGGCGCTTCTGAGCTGTTCATAACTTAAAAAGTGACAAGCAAACCAGTTTTCATGCTATAATCTAGATCTAGAATCTATTTTCTATAGGCCTAGGCATATTCTCTCTAGATTTATAAATCATCTAGATCTAGACTTTAGTTTTGAAGTTTTAACGTTCAACCTAGGGACTAGGCTACGAAAATTCGTCAAATCTCGAGGCCGGAAATAACGCTATCGCCGCCGTATTTAAATTATCTTGATTCTGGTTTCCGTAAGCCAAAACAGCTCACTGTTCACTGTATAAAACCAGATTCTTGACGTATCTGTGAGTACTTTACACTTCCTGTACAGGTATGGCCTATGTAAAATTACAACTAGATTTTTGTTTTAAATTTCTAATAAAGTCTTTATTTTAAAAATTTAACCACCACTTGAATTAGATCTAGAATCTAGATAGATCTAATGCCTCCCGAAGCATGGTCTTAGAAAGGCAAATTCGCCAGTTACCTATTATCGATAAGAGCCGATGCCGTTAGAAATAATTATACCTACACATTAGGCCTAGATTTCTATGTATCTATTGCACTCTCAACTAATTCAAGGCATCTATATTTATATTTGAACAGGGTAAAACTCCATTTTAGCGTATTTTATTCCCCGCTTCACGTTTACCTCCAGTTGAGCGTAGTATTTTATTACAAAGTGAAAACAGAAACACACAAAAACGTTTTATGGTCGCTTTGTTTACTCAATCTAAAAAAGCAGGTTTTTATTCCTTGTCAACAATGTGATGGAAGGATTCTAGTCAACTTGCTCGCCTCCATTAGCTTTGCGTTTTTTTATTTTAAACAATAGGCCTATAAGAGTCTATAGTCTATATGAAAATAATTTTTTTTTTTTAAATTATGGCTAGAGATCTTAGAAAAAGGCAGACCAAAATGTAGCCTATATTTTTTACATTATGACTTATTGTGACATTGACAACGAAAATATGATAGAGGTTGAGGGTCATCTATAAATGACATCATGCTTTTTTGACAATTTTACCTCCCTCTCCTTCCCTCAGTCACACATCATCACAAAAAGCTAGACCCCCCCCCCCCCCCCCTAAAATGACATCACCCCTCTGCCTATAACCCCCATCAAAATTGCAGTTGAATTTTTCTTAAAATATGATATTTTTCCAAACTCTTGTCTGAACTCTGTCAACATAGAGTATTTTAATCAATTCCTATTACAATTTATTAAAACAGTTTTCTAAAACGTGAAATAACGTCTAAAATTCATTTTCTAACATTGCTTTTTTATAATGCAAAATTGTGATGTCACACCATCAGAGCCCCCCCACCTTCCCACTCATCACACACCGTCACAAAATTAGGGATGGCTGCTAAAGTAAATGAGCTTGGCTGCATCTGATAAAAACATCACTAATCTTTATTTTTTAATGAAAAGTTTTAAAACAATTGTTTAAAACAGGTATATTAATAAAATTTGAAACATTTTTGTAACTTTCAGAACATAAATCCCCCTAAAAGTGTGAAATAGTTACTAAAATTTAATGAGTCACCTTTTTTTCACATTACTAATCTCAGCCGATTTTACGTACCTAAAACAATAGATTACCAGTGATTTTATAAATGTATACAAGTTGCATCTCACAATACTTCTAGAATTGATGAAGTTGTTTGTCAGTAAAATCAGTTCTTAAAGTACAGAATTTTAAAGAATGCTTTATAGGCCTATATAACATATTTAAATATGCTTCAATACATTTTCATATGAATAGAAATGAAAGAAAGCTATTCTAAATAAAATTTTCTTCAGATGGCTGCTATTTTTAATAGCAAATTTACTATCTCAAGCAGGGTTGAAAAAATTTAATTTCATGATATTTCAATTGATTTAACATTAAATCATGATCTATTATTCAATTATCTAGGCCTATAGGTAATATTTTAATAAAATATAAGAAAATATACTTATATTTAAAGACATTCATTAATACCCTCTCACCCACATTACTAGTTTTGGCAGAATTCACGACACTAATATACTAGTCAAAGTTTCACCCGATATAATTCATTATATGAAGTCCAGATCTAGTTGAATATAGATAGTCTAGATCTAGAAAGAATGAATAATAATGCATACTGATTGAATAGGTCTATAGATTACTATATAAACTATAGGTACATCTTGATGTTCTAAATCTAAAAGCTAATAAAATTTAAGCTAGACTAGATGTTAGATTTAACCTTAGCATTGAATAAAAAAAACATAAGTATTTAGAAAAATATCTGAAATTTTGCTAGCAAAACTACTCAACCGTTAATGTTGAGGCTAGTGAATAGCATGCAATTTCACCCATTGCATTTAAACAGTTATCAAGAATGATTCATATTGAAAGTCTATAGGAAATCATATTTTGTGCTTATTAATTTCCTTACTAATTTCGACTTATTAATTCTATGGGGGTCACGTGTCGCTTACTTTTTATAAAAGGGGGTCATCAAGTTTGGGAACCACTGCTTTAGAGCATCTTATTTTCTAGATTATGATTAGTTTTGACTAGAATCTAGATCTAGGCCTACTAGTACAAGTTAACTAGTACTAACACAGCTAAGATAACACATGTTATTGTTTAAGACAGGTAGGCCTAAGTTACATTTACTAATTGTAATAAAATAACGTCAAAAAATAGAAAGGAGCTACTATTTATGACGGGGACGGAGTGGTAGAGAGCTGGACTACTAACCCGTAAGTCTCGAGTTTGAATCTGGGTTCAAGTCAGTAGACCATCCCTGAGTCCACCCAAGTCTAATGGGTACCTACCTCATGTTAGGGAAAGTAAAGGCGGCGTGGCATAGTGCTGATCACTTCATATGCTGAGGTCACAGAAACAGGTGAACTCTTCTTCACTTGCCCCATAGACCGTTAGGTTTGAAAGGGAAACTTTACTTTCCTATTTATGACAATCATCACAAAATATCGTTTAGATGTAAATCTTAGTTCAATCTAGGGTCTGGATCTAGATCTAGCTTAAACTGAGACGACTTGAAAGACATTTAAAAAAAATAATCTTATAGGCCCTAATAATGTTGAATAATTAGTTTATATTTTGGTAGCATGACTCACAATATTTTAAATTACGTTATTTCCTGACTTAATGTATTTTGCATTGCAAAGTCCATATTTTAAAAGTTGTCTGTCAAATGACAGCAGACCTGAAGGGACATCAGAACCCAAAAAACTGCATGATTTATTTCATTTTTGGTCAAAAGAAGTCCATATTTAGAAGAATGAAAACTTTGCCAATCTTCTATGGTACAACTATTTTTTCAATATTAGACTAGATAAATCGATATCTATTCATGGTGTACCCAAAAAAAAATGCTATTTCTTGGTTTTGAATTTTAAACTAATGAATTGTAGTACTATTTTTCAAATTATAAGTATGAAATATTAACACTTAGTATGGCAGATATTAAATCTAGTATAATTTTTGTGTAAACTATAGGGCAAGTGAAGTAGAGTTCACTTGTTTCTGTGACCTCAGCATATGAAGAGATATTGTGGTCAGCACTGTGCCCAACCGCCTTTACTTTCCCTAACATGAGTTAGGTACCCATCAGACTCAGGGATGGTCTACTGCTTGAACCAGGCTCACTACCGCTAGACCACTCCGTCCCCTAATTTTGGTGTTGCTGAATGTTTATCATATACATTCAGTAACACAAAAATTTGTCTTTCGGTATGTGTGACAAGAATGCACTGGGATCATATAAAAGTAATATAAAAAGTGGTATGCCAAAATGTAATTTTTTTTCATTTGTGTATTTATTCAATGGCAAAGACAACTAACATCTTACAGCAATGGCAAAGTAATAAAAAGAGTATATTGAGATAAGGATCAGTGATATAAATAGTGTTAGGATAATGACTAGGTTTTTTTTTTTTACGGTTCAAGTTGAGGTTAACCGCCATATTCTGGTTAATGTTTTGGTTAGGGTTAAGGCTCCAGTTCCTGCAAATTTTTTATTTGTGTTTAGGTTAAGGAAAATGTGTAGGTTTAAGAAATGAGTAAAATAAAATTTTCTTACTTGCATCAATTGTATTTTTCCTTCTCACTCATTGTCAAGAATGCAATATTACTACTAATTGCTATCAAGAGACCCTTTTTTAGATTACTATAAATGTAATGTTATAGAAATATTTATTGTCAGATTTTGGAGAGGTAATTCCAGGGCTCCCTACTTGTATAGTTTTGCCCGTAATTTTACGATTTTGACACCCAGGTTATAGAATTATGATTACGAGCCGACCCGCGGCATATCATACGCCGCTATTTAGTTGTTTTATTTTCTACTTTTCAGTAATTCCTAATTTGTGAATTCGACAGTACCAATGCTGCCACTGAAAATATTTGCTTTAAAACACTACCCCTTCCCCCTAACCCCGAACATACACGCCCCCCCCCTGTGAAAGCAGCCTCCTCTTAGTTACCTCCTGTAAGTTTAAAATCGTTTCAAACTAAATTATCTGCCCCTAATAGCCGTCACTAAATGCGGCTCTACGATTTGTAAACATTTAGCGTGACCATAGCTCACCAGACCATGTGGGGGTGGGGTGGGGGTGATAGTGATAGAGAGAAAGAGAGGGGACTGCAAGGCGCGCTTGCAGCTTGTTTTCTAACGTCTCCCAGAAGAGAATTATATATATAGATGCCGCAAAGGTTACGGTTTTCATTTCAGTGGCGATCAAAATCGACTTTGGTGTAAAAACACTTTTTTACTGTGGTAACTTTTATGTTCCTGGTCTGAGTTTTATATTTATCTAGTTATATTTCAGAGTGTTATCCGGTTTTCTATGTTTTTTAGCATCTCCCGTAACAATCCCCCTCCCCCTTCACTTCCCGCTCATGTCAAGACTGGCAGCAGTCGTGTTTATATTGTGAACTATTGTCCCCGCGAGTGGTCTGTTACCTCATGAGCCAGTGTTGTCCGTAGAGATGGCCTAAATCATTGAAAGTCCGGTCGCGCATAGAAAATATCTCAATTAAAATTTAACCTACATGTAGATCTACTATTTTTTTAAAGAAAAAATAGTCTACCATTTAAATAATGAAAAAATAGTCTACCATTTAAATAATAAAAAAATAAACTATGCGAGCGTAGGTTTCTATTTATTTATAAAATAAACTGGATTTGGGTAAAAGCCAAGACACGAAATAGCGAGTCATTTAGCTGCGGCAGAATTACGGCTAAATGCCTAAATAGCGAGACATAATTTATCGAGGCATTTTGTTTGAGATGTGCGAGAAGACAAGTTTTTACTAAACAACGAGATCTAGATCTAGGCTCACCTAGATTAATTACAGGTCATATTTTTAAAATTATACTTTTCTTCTAGATATCACATTGATAAAATGTAGATTTTAAAAAAATATTCAAGAAATATGCTAATTCTAAACATTGCCACCCGTGTTATTGGCAGCTCACGTTTTCTTGTTCGCGGGAGAAAAATCTTGATGCCCATACAGTCTAGGGGTCACTGAGTTCACATTGGTTCAGACATCGGTAGTGTAGGCCTATATCATACAGCATACTACTCATTGCAAGGACTATTCCTATTTAAAATTTTCCCTTGTTGACTCACATTCTGAATTTCACTGCGTTTTTAAAAAAAATAATAGTCCATAAAATAAAAAGTATTATGAGTCGCCGACTCATCATTATGCTGGTGAGCTTTACGATCATACAAAATTGGTCTTATTTACATTGTATTTAAAAATGTGTACAAATATTGAAAGTTACGGGCAGTATCCAATTATTACGGAAAACCTATGCTCTTGTTACAGGAAACATTATTTTGGGGTAGGCAGCCCTGTATTTCATCTATATAAAACCAGATATTTTAAGTAAAATTCATTATTCACACAAATAGCTATTTCATTTAGATCTAGTACATACATCTTTTAGTCCTTTTTGATCTTCTTCTGCGTTCTTAATTTTAATGTTGGAAAGTATACATGTCAACTGGTTATGCACCATTGAGTCCAATTTCAGCCTGCTTTTCTTTTTGGATTTGTTTCCATAGCCTTTGTCCAACCAAGAACAAACTACCAGCAGTTATTTGATTTTGGAGTAATCTCTCCTAGAAGAGTGACTGTCCCCAGCTAACTACTATCCTCATCTGCCAAGGGGTTTGAACTCAAGACTCTTTGGTTTAGCAACCATGAGCTTTACCGACTCAACCACGGCCATCCCTGTCCTTTTTGTTGATGTAATTGACTTTTATGTCTACTGCATCAATAAGTCATCAATGTGTCAATTCTATCAGTCATCAATGTGTCCTTGTATTAGTCATCAATGTGTCAATTCTATCAGTCATCACTGTGTCAATTGTATTAGTCATCAATGTGTCAATTGTATTAGTCATCAATGTATCCATTGTATTAGTCATCAATGTGTCAATTGTATTAGTCATCAATGTATCCATTGTATTAGTCATCAATGTGTCCATTGTATTAGTCATCAATTTGTCCATTGTATTAGTCAACACTATGTCCAGTGTATTAGTCATCAATGTGTCCTTGTATTAGTCACCACTGTCTCCACTGTATTATTTAGAAAGAACTGTGTCCACTGTATCAGTTAGTCCATGACTTATCTAATAAGCCCTGTGCTTTAACCTATCTTTAAATATTATGAAAACAATTTTCAAACATATAAAAACATTCCACAGATATTTATCCAAGTCAGCATCGCAGAATGGCTTTAACAAAACTCTCTTATTTGAAAGCACATTTACAATATGATCATACTGAGGATAGAATTGTCAACAAGTGCCTGGATGTCATTGATAATTCTAGTCAACTTTCTCCCCAGTCATCAAACTTTCATCAACACCCTATCATTTGTACAGTAGAAAGGACTTACAAGTGTGATTTATGTTGTAAATATTTTAGACAGCTATCTGTTTTACAACAACACCTTAAAGTTCATACAGGAGAAAAGCTTTACAAGTGTAACACATGTGGTAAATGTTTTAAAAGTTATGTCAACTTGAGGAAGCACCATAGAATTCATACAGGAGAAAGACGTTACAAGTGTGACTTATGTAGTAAATGGTTTAGACAACTATCGGTTGTACAACAACACCTTATAGTTCATACAGGAGAAAAGCTTTACAAGTGTGACACATGTGGAAAATGCTTTACAAGGTTTGTCAACTTGAGGAAGCACCATAGAATTCATAGAGGAGAAAAACCTTACAAGTGTGACTTATGTTGTAAAGTTTTTAGACAGCTTTCAGTTGTACAACAACACCTTAGAGTTCATACAGGAGAAAAGCCTTACATGTGTGACAAATGTGGTAAATGTTTTACAGATTATTCCAACTTTAGGACGCACCTTAGAAGTCATACAGGTGAAAAGCCTTACAATTGTGACACATGTGGTAAATGTTTTACAGATTTTTCCAACTTTAGGAAGCACCTTAGAAGTCATAGAGGAAAAAAGGCTTACAAGTGTGACAAATGTGGTAAATGTTTTACAGATTTTTCCAACTTTAGGAAGCACCTTAGAAGTCATAGAGGAAAAAAGTCTTACAAGTGTGACAAATGTGGTAAATGTTTTACAGATTATGCCAACTTTAGGACGCACCTTAGAAGTCATAGAGGAGAAAAGCGTTACAAGTGTGACACATGTGGTAAATGTTTTATATATGCCAACTTTAGGACGCACCTTAGAAGTCATACAGGAGAAAAGCCTTACAAGTGTGACACATGTGGAAAATGTTTTACAAGGTTTGTCAACTTGAGGAAGCACCATAGAATTCATAGAGGAGAAAAACCTTACAAGTGTGACTTATGTTGTAAATTTTTTAGACAGCTTTCAGTTGTACAACAACACCTTAGAGTTCATACAGGAGAAAAGCCTTACATGTGTGACAAATGTGGTAAATGTTTTACAGATTATGCCAACTTTAGGACGCACCATAAAAGTCATACAGGAGAAGGGGCTTACAAGTGTGATGAATGTGGTAAATGTTTTACAGATTTTTCCTACTTTAGGAAGCACCTTAGAAGTCATACAGGAGAAAGTCATAGAGGAAAAAAGGCTTACAAGTGTGACATATGTGGTCAAAGTTTCACACTACTTTATAATGTAAAAAGACACAAAAAAACTCATACAGGAGAAAAGCCTTACAAGTGTGACACATGTGGTAAATGTTTTACAAACCCTTATAATTTACACAGACACAAAAAAAGTCATACAAGAGAGAAGCCTTACATGTGTGACAAATGTGGTAAAGGTTTTACAGATATTGCCAACTTGAGGGCGCACCTTAGAAGTCATACAGGAGAAAAGGCTTACAAGTGTGATGAATGTGGTAAATGTTTTACAAATCTTTATAATCTACACAGACACAAAAAAATTCATACAGGATCAGGAGAAAGTCATAGAGGAAAAATGGCTTACAAGTGTGACATATGTGGGAAATGTTTCACACAACCTTATAATGTACACAGACACAAAAAAACTCATACAGGAGAAAAACCTTACAAGTGTGACACATGTGGTAAATGTTTTACAAATCCTTTTAATTTACACAGACACAAAACAATTCATACAGGAGAGAAGCCTTATATGTGTGACAAATGTGGTAAATGTTTTACAAAGTTTGTCAACTTGAGGATGCACCTTAGAAGTCATACAGGAGAAAAGCCTTACAAGTGTGACACATGTGGTAAATGTTGTACAAAACTTTATAATCTACACAGACACACAAAAACTCATACAGGAGAAAAGCCTTACAAGTGTGTCAAATGTGGAAAATGTTTTTCCCTGCATTACAGTTTAAAACAACACCATAGAATTCAACATTCAACATAATTAGGCCCTACAAAAAGATTATTTTTGTAAATGCCTTTCAAGTCATACATTTCAGAAACATCTTAGAATTCCTTCAGAAGATATGCTTTAACTGTGGTAATTTTAAATTAAACATTGTACTGAATCATCTCAATGTGATGATTATTTTAATGACCTTTAATATTTATCTAAACATCAAAGAAGCCACACTTGAAATTGTACTTGAACATCTCCTTGAGGTATGCATTAGTTTAGGGTCATCTATATCTGCACTGAACTGTCTTTTTTTGTAAACTATTCTTGAAATTTTGTTTCTTGTTATCTGTTTGTATTAGATTTTTAATTAGTGTTTTTTCCAGACTTTTTTCTCTGGGGGAAAGGGGGGTGGGGGGGGGGGGGGGGGGCGGACTCTAGTAAAAGTGTATGTTAATATTAATTCCATCTCTTTGGGGGGGGGGGGGGGGCAGAAGAGATGCCTGGCAGAAACTCTGATTTTTTATACCAATTTTTCCGTTGTTAATGTATTTATATAGACCCAGCTTGATTGTTCTTAGCACATCCGGCCAATTCTTGTCGAAATGATGAGGTTTTAGTTCAAGACAAAAGAGAAAAGTAAAAAGGGGACACAAAAACGAGCTAACACGCTTTAAAAATCATAATTGTATTTTTCAGAAAAGAAAGTGTGGTTTATTTTTTTTTTTTAAATCAAGTAAAGCATTAATAAAATGTAAGATTATAATTAATGTATAGTGTTGGTTCTGTATGAACTGTATACAGATTGGACACTATTTTTGTGTTTTTTAAATCCTTTTTTTATGATTAGGTAATTCAAACGTAAAGAAACTGGCCTTAACTAAGTCATGTGACTTTTAAAACTATGACTATAAATGTTAAATAGGCTATTTTTATGTTAATTGGAAAAGTGTATCTGTGGGAAACTAGTATTTTGTATAAAGTGTGCACTAGATCACCATAGTGCTATTACCTTAAAAATAAATTTGAATAGTGTCTACTTAATTAAATATTCATTAATTTTAAAATATTTGTTCACGGTGAAGAGCTTGTAACAAAATGTACATAAATTGAGTAGGCTTACCATTTACAAAAATTAGAATTCTATTTCACCAACATTGTTTCAATTGCTTCACTTTATAGGATAGATTATTTACATACATTTAAGTTACTAAATAAGCTTACAATTGTTTATTGATATTTACAATTGTTTATTGTTATTTACATTTGTTTATTGTTATTTACATTTGTCTATTGATATGTACATATTAAACTGTAATTTTCAAATTAAAAGTTGATTTTGAATTTCAGTGAGGGTAAACATATATTTTAAGAGAATATTTTATTCTACTTTGTTTTTTTTATGTAAGCCAAATTTTAAAATTACATTACGAATTACATAGCAAATATATAAAACATTTATGTAAGCCTTATTTTAAATGTTAAGTCACATTTTAAAATTTAAGTCACTTTTAAATTTAGGTTGCATTTTTATGTTAGCTATCATATTATATATATATATATATATATATATATATATATATATATATATATATATATATATATATATATATATATATATATATATATATATATATATATATATATCTCAAGGTATGTAAGAAATATATTGATTTATTTTGTTCAGTTTATGTATTGGTTTATAAAAAATAATTATCTTTTTTTTCAAGGAAAATAAAAACTGTAAATAATCTAGAATTTGATTGCCATCGTGGAAAATAATGACACAGCTAGGTGGTTGGGGTTAGTGCATGTGTTAGAATATGCTACATGGAGAAGGTGATGAGTGTTAAGATTTTTTTTAAATTGGAGATAGAACAAGTCAGATTACTTAAACCTTTACTTCCTTATATAAACTGTATTGGCACAACAGGTAGGGTAAACAATTGCAGCTCAAGTGTGCATGGCTTCTTCCAGATTATTTACTGGGGGGGGGGGGGGGGGGGTGTCACTGTTTCAAGTGTAGGCCTATATTTTAATGTGTAAAATATATTTTTTCTATCTCGTAGGGAGAGGGGAATTAAAGATACATTTTTATAGTTCAAGCGCACACATACCGGTATAGGCCTACATGTGTTAGTTTTCAATAAAGGCTAGGCCAATTGCATGTCTTTTCATCTCTCTCACAAACCAAAGCGCGAGAAAGACCTGCTTGTATTTACTGCTCATGCTGTAGTAGATGAAGACGTTGATGCTGCTGCCCACAGCTTCAAGAAATGTGGACGCCGAGAACATGACGTCAAATATATTCCCAAAGTACCGGTTGATAAAGACCAGACGTTCAAGCAGGGAGATAACATACGTCATCCACATCGGTAAGGTCGTGAGAACAAAAGCAACAGCCAGGTTTAGAATCATTTTGATTAGTTTAAGATCACGTGACGTTATGAGCTGCATTCGTTCATTGGTCAATGACCTCGATCGCCATTGGTTCGTTTTTCGCAGCTGGTAGACGATTAGACACGCCGTGATGAGGTCAAGAACGCAGGGGCAGATAATGCTGAAAGCGTGGAAAGCGATGCTGATGCTCTCATTGTAAAAGCAGACATCCGTCCCGAATATGTACAACACGGTTGTGTTGAGGGGAGGAAAGTTCAAGGTCACGATCTGCACGCACTGATAAAAGATTGGCATTTCGATGACGTAGAGGCTAAAAATAGACGTCATGACGACTGCGGTGGTTGTCTTGGTGAAGTATTCCTTGACTTTCATCGGCGAGAGAATGGAGACAAATCTTTCAACGTTGATGTAGACCTTGATCCAGCGTGAAATACGGGTAAAGATTTCTCGAGGGAAGGCTGGCAGAAGGATGAAAAGAAAATTGGATTTATACAGGGCATACTTCTACTTTATATTAATATAAATACAGAGGCGTATCCAGGTTTTCGGTGTAGGAGGAGCGAAAATAGCAAACAAAATTTTTTCCAGCATTTGTTTTATATATATATATATATATATATATATATATATATATATATATATATATATATATATATATATATATATATATATATATATATATATAAACATATATATGTATATTTATAATATATATATATATTTATAATATATATATATATTTATAATATATATATATATATATATATATATATATACTCTGTATATATATATACTCTGTATATATATATATATATATACATATATAAATATACATATATATATATATATATATATATATATATATATATATATATATATATATATATATATATATATATATATATATATATATATATATATACAGAGTGGTCAATAAAGGGGGGGGGATTCTAACCCCACTGCCTTCGCCACTGACTTAACAGATCAGTTCGGGGTGGGTGGGTTCAACTTCCTTCACCACTATCCGGTCACTTTAGGCCAATTATGCAACCCAGCGTATACCTAGGTGTGACATTAATGTCGCTCTACACAATTGTGGTGGGGGGGGGGGAAATAACCAACTCAGAGTGAACATAGCGTCATTTTTTAGATGACTGTTCTAAACATACGTATTCAATTACCCATGTATACTGATTCAGAAATAGATTTAAATAAGTAGCAGTGGTTTTATGACAATTTTTTTTACAAAGGGGGCCATGGGGGGGGGGGGGGGTGTAACCCTCCCCCATCCTCACCAACGCCACTTAACTGAGCGGATAATTGTGCGATCAGTGTTAGTTTAAATTGAGTTGTTTTTTAATACAAAATATAGCATTATTCAAATTTAATATAGATATAGATCTTGTAAACTTAATTAATATAAAGTTGATACTGTTTCATATAATTTGTAATCGTAATCACTATCGCCTTAACTGTCATGACACTACTACTTCATCGTGATAACGTTGTTGACCTTGTCAAAATTTCCCCACCGCTACGCAGTTCGCCCATAAGTAAATTTAAATAAAGGTGCCACATCAGTTGTATTTGTGTCTGTATTGCAATTTCAAAAAATAAATTACACGATTCAAAATGTATATACATAAAGTTAATTATGTGTGAAGTTTTATGTATAACACTTTCTAATTCAATTATTCGTAAGCGAATACAGTTGCCTTAAACTAGGTAGTCGAAACTGAAATTAACTATTGATTGCAGACTTCTGGAGTGAGTATGTCATGAAAGAACTTTTAATTGTAAGGTCTATGCCACAAATTTTATAAAAATATCTCAATAAATAAAAAAGTTATGCGATTTTTAAAAAAGCAAAATTTGGTAAAAAACTGATTTTCAAAAAGTGCCATTTTTGAGAACCCATATTTTTTAAACTAAATAACATATAAGTGTAGAAATTGGTAAAGTTGCTGCAAAGTTACTTATATATATGCCCAATTTTTTTCAGTCATCTAAAATGAGTCTTTCTAAGGTAAAAAAATAATTGAAAATGACAAAAATGCTTTTTGGTCATTTTATTTTCATAAAAAAAAAATCAATTTTTTTTTTTTGCTTTGGAATAACTCTAAAACTATTGTGTTGGTAACATCAACGTGGAAAAATGTGTTAATTATTTTCAAAAATCACATTAGTTAAAATATTATTTTAAAAAATACCACAGTTATCTAGTGCAGGAGAAACAGAATAAAAATTTAGTAGAGTAAATGTAATGTAATGTAATGTAGTTTAATAAAGACGTGATGCCTACAAGTGATGCAGCAGTTGATGCCACATGCTTTGGTTTCTTTTCAAACCTATCCGGTTGATAACTGCTTTGGGGGAACCGTTTTTAAAACTACAACTCCACATCTTTGTACGTCTTGTTTCCCTCAACCTTGATCTTGTGGAGCATCAAGAGTAAGTAATATGTTTTGGGAATTGTAGGGGGGAGTGGGGTCTTGGCCTTCTTCCCTTCCCTTGTAAGGAAAGTTCTGGATAGGCCACCGTAAATGTCTCCAGCTATGGAATAAACAATTGATTTAGTGATTAATAAAATTTAATTAAATTTACTACTAGCCTATTGTGTAGGCCTACTATTTGTCCTACGACTATTACTGGAAACATATGAAAAAGCCTGAAAACACCTTTTTGTTAAAAGTAATTTTTACTTTATATATATTTTTAAGAGTAATTCTACTGAATGAAATTTGAAATATTCGTTGCTTGTGCCACACTGATTGAGATATCCAATGATGAAGATGCCATACTGTGGTTCTCAACATCCTATAGGACAACTTAACTGTCCTTCATTGTTACTATATGAATATGCATATAAAATAAATAAATAATGAGAAATACTACTAGTACTACTTACACTTACAACTAATATAACATTTAAAACTAAGTCACAACATGTATAATCTTAATAAATTGCACCACCATCTAAAAATTGATCTGGTACATTTTATTACGGAGACTGGCGCAGACCATTTCACATTATTTAGCAGGGGAATCGGAATCAGAGTACACAACAGAAAATAAAAATATTAATCACATTAGCCTTAAAATTTAGTGTCTTTTGTTTTAAATAAATCGATAAAATGTATAGTTATTATAATTATACATTTCTTTTGTGTTTCATTATTATTTTAAAAGTATTTAACCTTCGTTCCCTGTAAATAGTTGAGTTCGTCCACATAGTAACCAGGATTGTCTGGTGGCCATTTTGAATTTGTCGATTCATAATTTTGACGTGATAGTCCAAATAAACTGTAGTAATACGACCCTATCATTAATCCCGTTCGATAGATTTTAAAGAATTAGTAAACACTAGCATCTAATAGTTAAGTGCATCCATATTTTAAGTCCCTAGAATGTCCTGAATTAAATAGCTTCACGTCTAAACACACCCTGTGTACAAGCGTAGTTCACACGCTAGAAACCGTGGACTAGTAGAGTTCAAATTTACATTAATAACGTGTACTAATTAAACCAAACTGACATTCGAACTTAAAATTCATTTATTAAAATGGAAATGAAACTTTAAAAATGGTACTTACAACTTGTTTGAAGGCTCTAGCATGGGTAAAATCCGTTTAGCATCATCGGTCGTCAACCTTTAAAACGGTTCGGCGAGCAACTCACTCGGGGCTGAAAGTCGACTCGAGGGTTATATGTTTATTGAGGGTACGGCTTCGCGACCGTAAATCAGAAATACTTGAATTTACAACAAGAAGTAGATATAAAATTGAACTTTACATCGGTGTAAAAATTGAAACAGAATTAGTTTGTTTCCGTGTATATATCGTCATTTAAAGTTTAAAATCTGTATTTTTTAAATGAAATAAACTAGTTATTTTTTCAATTTATACATCAAACGATAGCCTAAATTCGATCTTTAAAATGACATTAAGATTATGCTTCTACGATGCTTCGTCGCGAAGCCGCGACCAGATAAAACAGTGTGGGGTCGATCGGTACTCGAAAAACGGGGAAATTTGTTGAAGTACTGATACTTTTCAAACAAATATAAAACACATTCAAACATGTGTTACAGATATAAAAATACCAGATTACGACAGATAAAGACTTAAACTTTATTGACATATAATTTTTATTCTTATAGGACAACTGGAATAGTGAAATTTTTTTTTGAAAACCGCAAAAACTGACCCTAAAACGCACTTTTTCGCCAGTTTGGACTACCTACTTAAACTTAACACCCCTCTTGCCAAGTGGTACTACCCGTAGAGGTTTGTTAAACATTGCAATGCATCGTAATGGTTAATTTTTAGAATGACAAACTGATACAGCTGCTAATACGCGTTGTAAACGTAGACTCTACTAGTCTATTACTATTATGCTTAGTTGCTGCATGAAAATAAATATTGTGATTTTTTAACAAATATCAATGTTTTAAAACTTTGAGTTTAAAAAGTTCCCGAAAAGGCGCAACTTTGCTGAAAATGGCCAGAGGGGGAGCGGCCGCTCTCCCTACTCACCCCCCCCCCCTGCGTACGCTACTGTATAAATAGTACAGAGTTTCTTCCAAGGATTCTCTTCGAAGAAAGTCTACCGCACCCCACCCCCCCGAACGAGATGGAATTTTTTACTAGTGTCCGCCCCCCCCCCCCCGAAAAATGTTTACCGCCCCCCCTCCCCGAAAATATCATGTGCCCCCCCCCCCCCCACCCTGGAGAAAAAAGTCTGGAAGAAACACTGAAATAGTATATCGTCGAACTTCACACTAGTACCGCGTAGAAAAAACTTACCGTTAGTCTCAAGTTATATTTCGAAAAGTCAAACATTTTCCTAGATCAACTCATGACCAAAACCACAAGACTAACGGTTAGTGACTAACCTAATCCTATGCCTGATACTATACCAAAAGATTAAGTATAGCAGTCAGCTTAGCGTAAACATAGAGCGTAAATTTACAAATAAGTGATTATAAAGAAGTAGGCTAAATCATTGTCTAAAATAATTTATATTAATACAAATAAACTATAAGATATAAACACGATGAAAACGTACTTGAGATGACGTAATAGACGTTAAACTCCTGAGTCTCAATGTGCCACAGGTAGAAGGGGTTGTAGACGAAAAAACTTGTCCAGGTAAGTGGCAGTAGGTTGAGTAGGTCAGCCACGGACAGCGACAGGAAACTGATGTTGACGGTTTCATGAAAACCCTTGTAAGAATAAAATGTGTTGGTAGCTCAATAAAACTGTACACTAGCTTTAGAAATACATGTCTACGATAACTATACAAATACATATCTACAAGAACTATAAAAATAAATATCGACAGTACATTCAAAATTACATTTAATATCAACAATATAACCATCTACAAAAACTATACAAAATAAATATCAACAATAGATTTACAATTATCAACAAAAACTTTACAATAAATTCTACAATATATCCTTGAATCAAACAGTCGAAACACACGAAAATAAAAAATACCCTATGTGCTAGATACTCCGTTTGCCAAAAAGCTACACATATAAACCATATATATATGATTGTAGGAAAAAAAGTCACAGGAAAAAAAAACACAGGAAAAAAAAACACAGAAAAAAAGTCACAGGAAAAAAAGTCACAGGAAAAAAAGTCACAGGAAAAAAAGTCACAAATATATATTTGCATGATACTTGTTAATACTTTTATGTATTAAATATTCAGAGAGTGCAAATTAACTTAGGATTAATTAAATGTAATGTAATGTGTGTAGGCTGTATACGCATAGGAATTTTTATAATTCATAAAAAAATATTTAGTATGAAGTATGTAGATTGTAATTATTTTAAACTTAAGATTAGTAGCGTTTAATAGAATGCTCCAAAGTCCACGGTTTTAATCCTGTTTTTTTTTTAAATACCAACATTAAATTACCGTGAAATGGTAAGTTCGTCTGACTTGCTGCCCTCAACTCATGGCCATAATAGTTATGTTTAGATGTTTAGTTCAACCACCTTTACTGCCCACATTTATCACGCTCATTACATAACAACACTTAGGATAAAAAAAGAAAGCCGACAAGGTTCAAATGCTGTCATTGACGCATGACGTTCGGACAATGCCTACTGAGGAGAGGCCGACCAGAGAATAGCCTACGGCAAAATTTGCCTAAATTTCTTTTATAATGAAATTTTCTACCGCGTTTTTAACTAAATACGTAACAAAAGTTGAGATTGTTGTGTAAATTTCATTAGAGTATTTTTGATTACAATTGTTATAAACCATAATGCTTTTATGCTATAATTTATGCTATAAAAAATACAACCCACAACAATAAACATACAAAATTTTACAATTCTAAACAAATTAAAAAAAAATATTTCTAAAAATATTTTTGTGACTTTTTTTCTGTGACTTTATTTCTGTGACTTTTTTTCCAAAAAATTTTTTCCACTGTGACTTTTTTTCTGTGACTTTTTTTCCTAGCAAAAACTGTGACTTTTTTTCTGTGTTTTTTTTTCCTGTGACTTTTTTTCCGTTTACCATATATATATATATATATATATATATATATATATATATATATATATATATATATATATATATATATATATATATATATAGATATATATATATATATAACACGTGCAAAAGATATTTTATATCTAATGCGTAGGTGCAACATTTGTTCTGCTGCTATCAATGTTTAAATGTTTGCTTGGAAAAAAAGTCAATTATATTCTGTATTTAACACTAAGATATACACAAAGTAGGCTGGCAGGTAGATAGTTTTTCAAAAAAAATTAATTAAGAAATTCCTTCTCGTAGAGACATGACTGATTACTTGTTTTGGCAATTATATTATATCTCTTTCTTCAATATTCATTCAGTACCTGCTTGAAAAAGACGACAATATTTAAAATGTTCCCCACTGATCCAAGTACCCCGACCAGAAAACAAGCGGAAGTGACGAACACGAACTCCACCATTTGTTTCTCGTAGGTGCTGATGTATTCCGGTAGTTTAGCCAACACATCTGGCGTCATGTTGACCATTTTTGTCCGTTGAAGTATTTTGGGCTAAAACATCCACAGAATAATATTTAGGATACTTTGTGCTGCGATTATAAATAATGAATCCAGATTTATGTCAGGGTCGTGACAGCGGTTATAACATACATTTTTTTAACGATAAATTGTGTAGAAGATTTAATTCCTTGGTAAATAATTCATTTGATTATACAGTGCTTACTCAGTAATAGCTAGATATTCATTACATCTTTTTTTTTGCATGAATTTGGAAGTTATATTTAAAACTTTAATTTATTGTAGGCTAGTTTGCTACTGGTTGAAATATTAGAATTAGCTTTTATTTTTTAAACAGCCTTACAAAGCTTCTAGACAATTTAATATTTATATTTTGAAAAAACAACTTTAATATAATTATTTTAATAAATACTATTTATTTTGTGGTTTGCGTATTTAATTTTAGACTAACTGTCTTTAAAGTCTGTCTATTGAATATAGTAATCAATAGTTTAGTAATCTCAAAAGCCTCGTTTTTATTTGAAAACAGTGACTGTACCCTGCGCCAAAGCATCAATTAAACATAATAGAAGACTTCCATTAAACATCGACAATTTAATTTTGTTCTATCCTCTTGAAATTTATGACAAAACTAGAATAGAAGATTGATCCTCCTTGCTTTAACCCTACAATCATGATTGAAATGAAAAGCTAACATAGCACAGGATTGTAATTACATGTTGTGAATTTTTATAATGATTTAACTTCAGCTAGAACCGCTGTCTATTTTAACAAAAAACCAACAACTAGTTTCAAACGTGATAATTGTATGGTGATACGTTTCTAAAGTCGTCGAATAAAACGAATGCGATTATCAAGAAAGTGATATGGTTATAGTACAAACATTATTTATACCTGTTTAGCTCTATGAGTTAATGTCGGGATTAGTATGAGAGTTAAACTAGGATAGTGGCGGACATGGTTAGGATCAGTGATGTAACGGATCAGCCAAGGCCCAAGGGCCCTTACCCCTAAACATAAACAAGTTTATAATATTGACAGCAGCAGTTACCAAAAGTAGGGGAGATAAGTGATACTCTTTATTACAGTTCTGTATAATATTTGATTACGTCTTTCTAATTTTATTTTATGAAAAATATTTTACTACGAGCCGACCCGCGGCTTATCATACGCCGCTATTTAGTTGTTGTTTTTTCTACTTTTCAGTTATTCATAATTTGTGAATTCGACAGTACCAACGCTGCCACTGAAAATATTTCTTTAAAACACTATAAGTAGCTCGTTAAGGACGATAACCCCCCCCCCATCCCTCCTCCCCCTCCGTTAAAGTAAACTCCACTTAGTTACCCCCCCCCTACGTTTAAAATAGTTTCAAACTAAATTATCTGCCCCTAATAGTTGAACCTAAACCCGGCTCTGTTTGTAAACATTTAGAGTGAATCACAGCTCACCAGACCATGTAGGGGTGGGGGGTGGTAGGGAGCGCGTTTACAGTTTGTTTTCTAGCGTCTCACAGAAGAGAATTATATATATAGATGATGTATACATTTTTGTGTTATTTAGTCTACAATTAATTGTCGTTTTTATCAAGATATATATAATTTTAGGATATACACTGCATACTTAAACCATAATGTGAGTAACCAGAAACTAAATTCTAATTGAATAACTACGTGTGAGATGTTGCTGAAGACTTGACTTCGCACATTAGAATAGGCTGTAAGCATTCTATTCTGTCTACTAAGATTAAGTGGATTATACATTGTTTTCAGGTCTTTATTAGAATTATATATTCTACTTATGTATAGCGTTTCACCTGTTTTATCTTCTCAATGCTAGACAAAATAATATAACCTGCTGTCTTTGTTGTGTGTTGAATGAACTAGCTTTGTTTACTGTAGAAAAAATGTAAGCTCATATATATATACTTGCTTCTTCCCTCTTGATAAATGTCACACAAACTGCTGTTTATAATTTCATGTGTAGATTTTTTTATATGCATTCAGACACATTGATTGTATACACACATACAATAGTCTTTTAACAAAACAATAATTTCTGTATGGATGGTGTTATGAAGTCACCGCAAAGTGATGGAGCTGATGACTGCGGTGAGGTGAGGTATTTAGGTAACAGGTTAAGACGGACATGTTATATAGCCGCCTCGATGGAGTTACATCAACCAGTGGCGTAGGCAGGGGAGGTAGGGGGATCATAACCTCCCCCATAGACCCCTCGGTATATATATAAAGTATGAGGGGGGTGTAAATCGAAAGTTTAAAGGAGGGGGGGGGGGGGGGGTTGCAAATCAAAAGTTTGAATGGGGGGGGGGGGTGCAAATCAAAACCCCCCCCTTCCCTTGAGACGATCCTGGCTACGCCACTGACATCAACACACGTACAATTTTAAGATTTGAATAAGCTTTGAGTTCTGCCACGGAGCACAAGACACAAGCTTGCTTACAACAACACGTCTAGCATTCAACTAACTTAATTCATTCATTCGGCCTCAGCTCCACCCGAAGCCTGACCCCAGCAGTCCGGCGAGGGGCGGGGGTGCCTAACCTGTGCATGCATTAACTCGAACTCTATACGACTGGGACAACAACAAGCTGTTCAGACTTGTATCTAGTGAGGGGACGTATAATCAAACACTTGGACTATTCCAATTACAGCTATTATTATCTATCTAACCAAGAGGCGTAGCGACCCTTCCCGGCGCCCGGGGACAAACGTTCAAATTGGCGCCTCCTCGGAAGCAACATTTCAATTATCAATTTGCACCCCCCCTCAAACTTTCGATTTATATATTTATAATGCAAAACTGCAACTAAAATTATATTTTAATTTGTTTTTCCAACCCATTTAGGCGCCCCCTAAGGGGACATATGTACCCCCAGCCCCCCCCCCTCACTAAGCCTCAGATCTAACCAACAATTAAACGATGTAATAGTAAGGACATAACTACAATTAAAAATTAAAATCTGACAATATACACAAACATTTTACTTTGAGTATTTGTTTTGGGCTAAAAGTTGACTAGCTTTTACATAAATATATTTTATAACATTTCGTTAAGTAAATTTTCTAGAATTTAACTTGGCTTATATATATATATATATATATATATATATATATATATATATATATATACGCCACATACATCTTCTCATGTCGACA